TGCTTGAATATTGATCTCCACCCTTTTTATTTTTAGTCTAGTGCATCCTTGCAGGTTAAATGTGGTTTCCTGAAGACAGCTATACTTGGCCTGTATTTTCTTATCCATTCAGCCAGCCTATGTCTCTTGAGTGGAGAGTTTAAGCCATTCACATTTATTGAGAGAACTGATAGGTAAGGTAGATTACTGATCATTCTGTTGGGTGGGATGTTGTTGCTATGATTTCTGTCTTGAGCCATTGTAATATCTGGCCTTTAATATCTTTGGTTTGGTTGTTTTTATATCCGTGGTTATTATTATGATGTTCCGTGCGTAACGCTGTTTTAAGTACTTCTGTAGGGCTGGTCTTGTCTTGGTGAATTCTCTGAGCCTTTGCTTGTCTGCGAATGTTTGTTATTTCTCCTTCATATATGAGGCTTAGTTTTGCAGGAATAATATTCTAGGCCTGGGCATTGTTTTGTTTCAAAAGAGTGAGAATGGGGCCCCAGTCTCTCCTTGCTTGTAAAGTCTCATTAGAGAAGTCTGATGTTATTCGAATTGGCTTTCCCTTGTATGTCACTTGCTTCTTTTGTCTTACAGCTCTTAGAAGGTCCTCTTTAGTTGATACTTTGGTCAGTCTGATGACTGCATGACGTGACGTCTTCCTGTTTGCATTGAATCTCCCAGGGGTCCTCTGGGCTTCTTGAACTTGTATATCGAGATTTGAGCAAGGCCTGGGAAATTTTCCTCTATTATATCTTCAAAAAGCTTGTCCAGCCCTTGAGTGTTGTCTTCCTCCCCTTCGGCTAAACCTATGACCTCCACGTTAGGTTTTTTTCACATAATCCCACAGCTCTTGTAGACTTTGGTCTTTTCTCTGTTTTCTCTGCTGTATTTCTGTGACTGATTTATTTAATGGAAGGTGTTATCTTCAAGCTCTGAGATTCTTTCTTCTGCTTGATCTACCCTGTTCTTGAGACTTCCACAGTATTTTGTAGTTCTCTGAGTTGATCTTCATCTCCAGGACTTCGGTTAAAGTTTTCTCACTGTGTCAATCTCTTTGTTGAACTTTGTTCCATTTCTTGGAGGTTTTTTGTGTTTTCTTGGTGTTGGTTATTGAGTTGTTGCTGCAGCTGGGTGAGTGTTCTTATGATCCACATACGAAATTCCTTTTCTGTCATATCGGTTGCCTGATTTTGGTCGGTGTCCGTTTCTAGGGGGCTGGTGCTCCTCCTTGGGGGTGTGTTTTCCGTTTGGTTCTTCATATTTCCTGAGTTCTTTCGCTGATTTCTTCCCATGTCGATCAGTTGTTGTTTCTTTCCTTAGGTTATTGTTTGGTATTCACACACCTTGTTAGTTTCTGAGGCGTTAGTGTTGCCTGTGGGTGAAATTGGACCACTCCCGTATATTGAGTCAGTGGGTGGCCGTGGAAGGCTGTGCAAATGCCGTCCCTGTCAGTAGGTGGCGTTTGCTTGGAGGAACAGGCTATGTGTTGATTTTGAGTCCTGTTATCAGCTCTCGTTCTGGCGGAGCTGGTTGGGTAAGCCTGCCTCAGGCCGTTAGCAGGGGTCAAAGTTCTGTTCTCTGCTGTCAGGGCGGCGGGCTGGAATGGTCCGCCTCAGCCAGAAAGTCTGGGGTGTGGGGGTGGGGCTGTCTGAGACCCACAGTCTGCAGCAGGCCTCGCTTCTTTCCACCCTCCCCAACTCCGCAGCTACTCCTGGGCCTCTGCCAGCAGGCCAGACCACAAGCCACCAGGCCTCCCCGGACTGTGATGCCGGCAGGGAGGTTCCCTGCACAGGAATGCCACCTGGGTTGGGCACACGGCCTCCTCCTGGGAGGAGGGTGGCCCTCTAGGACGCCGATCCGCCCCTGGAGGCACACAGACCTCAGTAGGCTGTTCACGTATAATCCCTCTGTGCCCCGGGCAATGCTAGCCCTTGGTGCAGGGGATCTGGTCTGCAGGTCCGACCTCTGGTCCCAGAGTTCAAACTGTATTCCCACCAGGGAGAGGGTTTCCGGTCCTAATCACCCACAGGGAGCCCAAGCTGGTCTATGTCTCTCAGCCTCTGAGTGCACCGTTTTCCTGGGAACACGTGCCAGCAGCACCTGGAGGCGGGCGGGGTCCCAAACGGAAGGTCCCGTTCCCTGGAGGTGCCTCCGGCTGGTTGCTGTATTGTCTCTCTGGGCAGCCGCGGGTAGGGTCGGCGGAGGGGGGGAGGAGGCAATATGGCGCCTGCCGCGCGGCTCTCCGTGCACACGGAGGTGCCCGGAGGAAGTTGGGAACCTGGTGCCACGTCTGCTACAGGCTCACCGTTGGCAGGCGGCGGCAGTCTCTGGGCTGATGTCCGCAGGTCTCCCACCCGCTGGGGAGCCCACAGCAGTCCCGAATGCAGGGGAGGGGTAACAGAGAATCCACCTACCCTTGCGCTGGTCTCCGGGCTGCTTCCGGTGGTCTCAGCCTCCAGTTCTCCTCCGCAGCCTCTCCCGTGAGGATCTCCGGGTCTCAGGTACCTCCTTCGCGCCCTTTTCCGCTTGTATGCTCGTCTTCTTGCTTCTTTCCTCTAGTTTCTGCTAGAATCGGTCTTTTCTGCAGAGACCCTCTGTCTGGCGGTGTTATTCGTCCGCCATCTTGCTCCGCCCCCTCCAAATTAGGGTTTTGACTCTTCTCATAACAGCAGCCAGAATAATCTTTTTAAAAGGTTAAGTCCGATGAAGTCACACAGGTGATCAAACTCTCCAGTAGATCCCCCGTTTCAAATAAGTCTCTTCGATGGCCTGCAGGGTCCTGTGATCTGGTCCCATTGGTTCTCTGGCCTCCTTTCCTATGTTTCTTTCTATTAGCCCTTCTGTTCCAGGCCTCACTACTGTCAATCCTGCCTCAGGGCCTTTGCACTGGCTATTTCCTCTGCCTGGAATCTTCTTCCTTGAGATACCCATGTTTCTTTCCATCACTTCCTTTAAACCTTTGCTCAAACATCACTATCTCAAGAGGCGCACCCTTATCTCTCTATTGAAAGTTGCCATCCATCACCCCCATCCACCCTGACCTCCAGGTAGCCTTCCCCCAGATTCTAATTCCATTCCCACGGCACTGTTTACTATCTAATCTCCTCTGTAAGTTACTTATTTGTTATGGTTATTGTTTATTTCCTGATTTCCCCACTAGAATATGATCTCCATGAGGGCAAAGTGTCCTATGTCTATTTTGCTTGTCAATGTGTTCCAACTCCTAGAAAAGGGCCTGGGAGACAGGCCTGGCTCATAATGGACACTGCACAAATACTTGCAGAATGAACGAATGAATTCTTTAATCTTTGCAAACCTCAACTTCCTGTTCTTTAAAATAGGAATAATACTATTAGTAATAATAATAGTACTTTATAGGGTTATCATGATAATTAACCAAGATAATACATACATAGTATAGGCACAGTGCTTGTTACTTGCTAAACATTAAAGAAGTTATCATTACTATCATTATAATTTATTAATGTTTTTTAATCTAAGACAGACAAACTAGCTCACTCTATTTACAAAGTAGCTACTCTCTTAGTGAAGCAGTGTTTGAATTAAAACAAGAAGGGAATTAGTCAATATTGATTGTTGACACGAACAACTGCATACCCATCAAAGATAGCAACTTTTAATCTGATTGAGAATCGGAGAGTGACGCTGACACCTCCAACTCTTGAACAACACAAGACACCTTTGGCTTCTGTTCTTCTCTGGGCATTCGCCCGTCCTTTCACTCTTCTGGGCAGGCTCATAGCTTCCTCTTCCCCAGAAATCTTGAGTACACGTGGTTGTGTCCAGGTTGGTTGTCAACTCTTAGTACTCTTAACCTAACTGTATACATCACGTTCTGCCATTGTCTGCTCACTCCATAGATCAATCCTCAGTTTCCAGAAGACAGCACATCGTTGACCTTGGTGAGCCAGTTGCTCGTCACTGTGGATCTGAGCAGGACCGCTTGCATACTGGCTTCCCTCCCAGTAGGCAGTTGGGGTGCGCAGCAGGACGTGGGATACGTGGAAGGAAGGGAGGCATCACTGCCATGGCTACCACGATAGCAGTGGAGCTTAACACTCAAGAGACTAGCTGTGTGGCCTCAGGCTGGTCACTTAACTATTTGTGCTTTGATGTCCTCATCTGTAAAACTAGATAATAAAAATCAAAATAGTCATAACCTCATAGACTGGTTGTTAAAGTGAAATGAGTTGATTTTCAGTTTGATTTAGAACATAGATGAGAATATGTACGTATGTGATTTCTTAAAACCCCATCTAGGAAGCCAATGAGTACACCACAAGCAGCTAAATGCATGTAGTTAGGCAGTCAGCATACATAAGCAAATACAAGATGCAAACCTCCTTCTTCTCTGTACTTTCTCCGTGTCACTTCTAATGAGTTTCCACCGGAGTTCATGCCCAGATAACCCAGGGAGCAAGGTCCCTGCTTTCTGCTGCTCTGAGAGATTAGTACAGCTACCAATATCCTCCACTTTGATGGGAAAGATTAGGCCTTAAAGTTGAACTCTGTACATTTACGGGGAACTACAGACCGGGATATCTCCACCATCAATATCTCTCACAGATTATGCATTTCTTTTGCTTCTCCCCCGTTAGCTCACACCCATTATCTTTGAATCACTGCCTTGTATGCCAGACCTGTGCCTCTCTTCCTGGCCTAAACTTAATCTCTGGCCCTGAAGGCCATCAGTTGCTCCACAGTGCCAGCACAGCCAGCTGTTCCTGGAATGGTGTTTCCCCAGGCTCTGAACACCACTATGCAAAGGTCTAACCCTGGAAGAAATCAGAGGTCAGACGCCCTCTATTCATCTATCCATACATCCACACTTGCCTTTTAGCAGATGGCTGCCAGCCCGAGAGTCTTCCTGCTGGCAGAGTTGCATCTGTGACATATGCACCAGCTCATGAAGTATGTGTCACAGCAGCCTCCGTATCCAACAGGTGGGTGTGGGGGCCTCCACTGCTTAGCCAGCAGAGGTGAAGGCTGGCCGCTGCAGTGGCTGGGAAGGGATTCAGACCCCTGCTGCTGAGCCCCAGGCTGCAATTAATCAGAGCCAAGGGCCAAATCAGGGTCTGAACGTTAAACTAGACAGGTAAGCAAAGGGAGCAATTAGGAGCCAGGATTGGGGTACTTGGCCGGGGCTGGAGGTGTGAAGGTCAGGGCCTGGGGGAAGTACAGGCTAGAAATGGAATTTAAGGTCAAGAGTGTAAGAGGATGAAGTCTAGGTGTCAATCAAAGTGAAGAGCGCAGGGGAGCTGAGTGAATAAAGGCAATGGTGACAGGTGTTTGGTTCACGAACTGGGAAAGCGCAGAACCAGAAAAGCAGAGCCCCAGCACAAAGGAGGGACTGGTACCTAGCTGCCTGTTGACATTGTTTTCTTTCCCAGGAGTCCTCACCTTAGCTTTTCTGTCTCTTTTTCTTCAACACTAGGATCAGGTCCACCCTTCCAGTTCTGCCTTACCCTCTCACTATGGAGTACGTGGCAGGAGTGGAAGTTCATAATGATGATCATAGACCTGGATCCAGACAGCTTGTGTGCGAATCCTGCCTGTGCTCTGTACTAACCAACTAACTGTGGACAAGTTGCTGGATCTCCTGCCTCAGTTTCCCCATACGTTCAGTGGAGATAATCATAGTGTCAAATTATAGGGTTGTTGAAGGAGATTAAATTTGAGTCAATATATTGTAAGGCACTTAGGACAGGGCCTGGCATGTAATATGCATCATATATGTGTTTGCTTGTTATTATTCTATAATAATATGATACTGGAGACAAAGGTCATGCATAAGCCATCAGAGCTTGGATGTTTTCCAAATCTTTTGGAAGCCAAATTGTGCCAAGATTGGGGGAGAAAAGGGTTTCGATATTATTATTGTATAAGAGGAGGGGGAGGGACTCATCTTTCCAAGCTTTCACGATTGCCCCAGAAAGAAAACATTTTCATTGTGTGGTCATGATTGGGAACACATGTGAACCACACCCTACTTAGCTCAGCCCCTTCCTGTCCTTACTCTCTCTCTCTCTTTCTGTTCCTAATTAGTAAGAAACCAAGTAGAATTTGGCGTTTCCTTCCCCGTCGTCGTGGTAGGGGAGCATGCAGTGGATTAATTACCTCAAGTAGTTCTGGCTCCCCTAAGGAACAATCAGGGATGGGCCTTGGGGTCCAGTGGCTTAGGGAGGCGTGACAAATTTAAATCTCCACCCTAAGGGAACAGAAATTAATTTTAATAGGAGGCAGTGTGGTCTGAAGTTTAGCGGAGGAGGATAAGTAATCAAAAGTTATGTTTTCTGTCTTAGCTCAACCACTAACTTCTTGTGGGACTTGGCTCTGTCGTAGAATTTAGCTTGTGGGGGAAATAAATCTACCTTGCTGCTAAGGACGGCTGCAATGACAACAGCTAATGTTTGGTGTTTGCATTGTACACCAGGCATGGCACTTACAATTTTTTATATATACACACATATATCACACATGCACACACACATATGTGTATATATTTATATTAAATATGTTTACTTTATGTATATTTGATTTAATGAGTACATATAAAATTGCCACTGGCAGGGCGGCAATTGTCCCCATCTTATAGATGGGGAAACAGGAACAGAAAATGTATATGGTATTCCCAAGGACTCAGATCTGGAATGTGACAGCAAACATATCATGTTCAGTTCCAACTCAACCTTGAGTCCAAGATCTTAAGTGCTCCATCATATTGCATAGTAATGCAGGGAGGTGCAATTATACAATTTAGAAGTATGTAAGGAAATGAAATCAAGGATCTCATTTGAAGGGTTAATGAGATGGTTCAGTTGGCTGAACAATTCATTCCTCAAACACCCCAATTATTCTCTTACTCTACTAATTTACTTTGGATAAGATTGTATGTTTGGCTTTTAGCTTTTAATAAGTGAAACTAATCTTTAGAAAGTTTCCAGAAAATCAGCTAGCTGCTCCCATCCATATGGACATAATATTTCTCCTGGAAGTGGGATTATGGGCCGGTACCTGGAGCAGATTCCGAGCAAGAGGCTGTCTATCTGAAAGCAGGAGGGCCGCTGTGCGGGAGGGCAGGACTGCGGAGGGCAGTCCCACGAGGAGGCTCCCAGGGTCTTTGCGGAGGGCAGTCCCACGAGGAGGCTCCCAGGGTCTTTCCAGAATTGAGGAAGGACCTGAAATCCCCTGGCAAAGCAGAGGTGTGGAGTCAGGCTGCCCTGCAAGAGATGGAAGCAGAGAGGCGTTAGTTTGGGTGTTGGCCACAAGAGTGATTCCTTTGCTCCCAGGGTCACGGAACTGATGGCTTCAGCCTCACATGCAAGTCCATTGCACGGCCTCTGCCGGGGGCTTCACTTGATAGAACACTGAGACCGTGCACCTTTGTGGCGTCAATGCAGGCTCTAGGGCTGGAGTCAATGGCCAGTGGCCCAATTCGCAGTCTCTCTAGCCCCTGCCTTAAGGACATCTCCCAGTCCCCTCTTCCTCCAAACCTTGGAAGTGAGAATATCACACAGAGCCTCCGTTTCCCTTAACCTGGCCACTCATGCACTCAGGAGAACTCAAACAGAACATTATTAAGGGATAAGGAATTCCCTGGGGACACTGAGAAAAATAAAGTAATTTCTTTACTGGTAGATATTGCATGCCCCCATTAAACGGCAGCGAGAACCCCAGAGAAGAAAGTATACTTAACAGTCTAAAACACAGCTCCAAACGGAGGAGAAGGCAGGCTTGTTTCAATCATCTGCCCCTTGTTCTGTAATAAAAATGTATTTTTTTTTCCCTGAGAACAATTTAGTGTGGCCAATAAAAGCCCAGCTAATTTCTAAATCAGCATGGAGCCAAGTCAGCCACCCAGCAGCTCTCTCCTAGGGCAATATTTCTGAGGCGTGCACAATCTATACTAAAGCGATCAGCTTCCCTCCGTCCTGCCAAGGGGATGCGTTAGTGAAGCCCAAAATATGACAAGAGGAAATTTATGTGCAACTTTTACACATAATATCTCATTATGACTCTTCCCAATCTTTCAATTTTAAAAATAAACGGCCTTTGTAATGATTTTACCAGGAGAACATCTAAAGTAAGATTAAAAAGGAAAGAGGAAAGTGGTTCAGCTGCTGTGATTTCTTTCTTTTCTCTGGGTCTTACTTTATGGAAATTCATCTTTCTCCCTTCCCTCCTTCTCTTCCTTCCCTCCTTCTCTTCCTTCCTTCCTTCCTTCCTTCCTTCCTTCCTTCCTTCCTTCCTTCCTTCCTTCCTTCTTTCCTTCCTCCCTTCCTCCCTCCCTCCCTCCCTCCCTCCCTCCCTCCCTCCCTCCCTCCCTCCCTCCCTTCCTTCCTCCCTTCCTTCCTTCCTTCCTTCCTTCCTTCCTTCCTTCCTTCCTTCCTTCTTTTTCCCTTTCTTCCTTCTTCCCTCCCTCCTCCCTTTTCTTGTATGCCCACTCATTTAAGGAGAAATAGAAAGTTTAGGATCTGAGAATTCACCTAAGGACAGACGATCTCTGTTAGGAGCAAAAATGACTCTATTTGGTACATGATGAAAGTTTTCTCTAAGAATTCAGCATCATTTACCCAAGATTCTGCTGTGGATTTATACCATAAACCTAAGGTCTCCTGTCTCAATTTCCTTCCCTCTCATCCTCATCTCTTACAGCACAGTCACACACAGAGAAGCAGGAGGGGATTCTCAGGATCTCCTTGTGTCATGCACCCCATGTTTGGTGCTCTCCTTATGCTGGACACAGGACTCATGGCCTGGCCGCCCCTTCCCTTTGTGGGGAAGCCAGCAGAGTGGCAGAAAATAGATGCAGCTCACTGTGGGAGGGCCAGCCCTTTGTAAACACCCAACATTTCCTGCCTTGGTATTGGCTGAAACTTTATGACTTGTCCATTTTTTTCTTTTTTATTTTGGGGATTCATCCAGCTCCTCCATTGCTGCCTTCTGCCTGGAGGCCCATCTCCTCGGGCCTGTGCCCTGTGACACAGCTGATCCTGGGGGAGGGCAGCCTCTCCCATCAGCAAGGCTCTGGGGCTGGTTGTTTGTATTGATTAACTTTTTTGTTCAGGCATTATCTACAGAAAGTTGACTCTGCACAGGTTTAGAATTCACAAGTGAATTCAACAGGGTAGTTGTCCTTAAAGAACTCACTGTCTATCTGGGCAGATACACCCATGGAATAATTTAAGCCATGACATCATGAAAGTGTCAGAATGGAAGGTGGGTCATGGAAGCAAGTGTGACACTGGCTGCACTTGGGAGTGTCAGGCCAATCTTGATTCAGGAACGATTTGCCTTGAAGTCAAACCTGGAATAGAAGACCCTCTAAGATGTATCAAAGGAAGAAGTACTAATGGAGGTTTCCTAAGCATTATGCCTCCTCAGCTTTGTGGCTGTATGTTCTCAATCTGAGCTGGATTTTTGTGAGATGGGAGCCTATTTCAAGCTGGTAAAACATGATTTCCTGTGTGTATGAGAAGAAAGGACTGTCACAGAGGCAGCACAGGCATGAAACGGAGGCTGTCACATCAAAGACAGACAGAGAGGCCGAGACACCGGCAGTTTGATCCTTGACTTAGAGTCAAAACTATGAGGTTGAGGCCATGAGAAAATCAGAATTACCAGTGGGCTGAACAATGACTATTAGTCTGGCCCCTGACGGAGACCCTAAAGCCCCACAAAGTATGGCCTGTCCCCCCAACATTCTTTGTCCTCCTTGTCATAACATATTAGCCACCAATTTATTAGCTCATATGTCACTGTGCAGCATCATCAACACGGTACTTTCATGGATGACCTCATTGCACTTTTTGGAAGGGAGACACCTTCACCTCTGTGATACAGGCGTGGAAATTGAGGTTCACATAAAGTTAGCAACTTGGCCATGGTCCCATTGTCATAAGTGTCAGGGTCAGGATTCAGTTGCCAGGCTCCCAAAGGGCAGAGAGTATTCAAGGCTGCTGGTCTCTGGCTCTTGCAACCAAGCTGTTTACTTCTGCCCTGTCCTTTAATTACCTGTGATCTCTTCTTGCCTCCTGTTTTCAGCCTAAGTTCTATCTCCTCCCAGTTCCCCTGAAGATGTCCCTGTGCACAGTGACCTTCCCCTCTTGTGAAATCCCTTCAAGAACATTTCTTGAGTGGCTACCACATACTAGGCTCTGGGTTAGGTGTTTCCACATGCGGCTTTGCTTTAGTCCTCATACCGATCTTCAGGCATCCTCCCATCACCCCATTAAAAAGAGAAGTGGAGACTGCAATTCACAGAGTGCAACTGACGTGGAAGACATCACACCACGCAAACCATGACTCCAAGACTTGAGTCCAGTTCTGCCTTTCTTCTCCAGACAAATGTCACGGCCTTCCTTTCTGTGATCTCCACGTTGCTGTGATTCACCATTCACCTTGGTGCTTGGCATTCATAGACCTTCAAGAAATACTGTTGAACAATGAATGGATAGATGAGGAATGGGTTCCCACAGACCAGGGAGGAGTCATAACTTAGTAGGAAAGCAAATGGATTCTGAAATTGAACAGCTGGGCCTCAAACCCAGGCTCTGCCCCTCATGAGCCACGGGATCATACAAAGACGGGTTTCCCTGTCTGTCTCACTAGCTGGGACACAGCTACACACCTCTCCATGGCTAGTCACCAGCAAAGGCGTGGAACTGGCCCAAAGCTGCCTCTCTCTTTTGAATATCTGCCATATTTTCTGTCATAGAAATGAATGGCATGTCCTTTTTCTTTCCATGCAAAGGGAATATGCTAGCCTGTATTTCTCCCAGAATGGGGAAATGGGCCCAACATGCAGCTAGGTGGAATAAAAGAAAGAAGGAAGCATAAAATTAACATGTGCTAAGCACTTAACTAAGTTTTGAAATCCAAGCTTTCACACGGATGCCCGTTCTCTAATTTAAGCCTCCCAAGCCACCCCTCGAATAGAGGAGTGATGTAGATGCAGAAACAGAATCAGAGGGAATGAGTGCAACATGTCCAAGATCACACAGCTGGTGGGTGTCTGGCCAAGATGAATGTGCTTCTGATTCCAAACGTGGTGCTTTCTGGAAAGGGAATTAGAAATGTGTTTCCTCTTCATGAAATTCAGCACAAAGGCTTGGGATCAGAATTCAAAGTCTGGGTGAGACTCGGGAGATAGTGAACTTAGACTCTGGGGTAGGTCCTCAGTGACAGAAGGCAGCCAGATTTCAGCACACATCACCTGGAAATGATCTACCGGAGTTTTGCCTCCCCATATTTCTACCCCACCAAACTGAATGGCAAAGTCCAGGCAGTCCTGCTCTTTAAAAATTTCTTAATGTGAAACCCAAGAGAGAAGGAGTTAACTGTCTTTTTTCTTTATTCCCCCTAAACTGTAAACAGGGTGTTTTTTTCCCCTTTCTCTTTAAGTGATAAATTTGAGTCTAAAACACAAAGTGGAGAACATTATGTAGAAAGTGCTTATTTTCTTCTGATGTTTGATAGGAATTAGGGTTGGCAAAACCCAAACTCTGTTTCCCCTTTCACACAGCCTGTCATTTTTGTCAAACAAGAAGCTGATTAAGTTTCAATCAAAAGAACAAAAGACTCCAGAAAGATTCTTCTTGGAAAAGCAGTGGCTTCAGCAATCATCCCGTGGAAAGTAAATTTACTGTTGAGTCTGTGACTTAACTCTGAAGCTAGCGTGCCCTTTCTGTTTAAATGGTGAGTCTTAGGAACATCCTCACCAACTACATGCAATCCAACCCCTGCCATACAGAAGAGCCTTTTTGCTATGGACACTGAAAACTCTGCGTATTCATCATGCACGTTGGGAAGATTCTTTTTTAGCTATGGTATTTCAGGCCAGCCATCGTGAAGAGACAGAGGAGGAGATTTGGTAAGGAGCAAACGGGACATGTGGATGGGAGAACAGACTTGTGGCTTATTGTAAAAATGGATGTGCACTGTTCCATTCCTTCTTTCCGTGGTCTTTGGTAGTGGACTGTCCTTGTGACTTGCTTTGGATGATGGGACCCAGTAAGAGGCTCAGGAGCCACATGCACACTGGGCCGGTCCTCTCTGGCTGGTCCCCTGAACCTCGTGACCACCACCAGGTAAACGAGCCTGAGCCAGCCTGTTGGGTGATGAGTGGTTAAATCATTCCCATGGCCCTGGCCGACTTTGCACCAACCACAGATGGTGAGTGAGGCCACTGTAGACCACCCAGCCTCACCCAAGCCATCCCTGACCCAAAGACCCTCCCATCCAGAGAGTTATGAACCTCATGCAACTCAGAGAATCGTGAGGAGTAATACACGTTTGTAGTTATAGAGGTTTGGGGGTGGTCTGTTATGCAGCAAAAGCTAACCAACCTGATGATCTTCTCTTTGCTTTCCCGATTCCAGCCTCAGTCTGTGGACTAGGACAGGGTGAGCTTCTAATCAAATCTCAGAATGCCCTGTTTTTGAGATCCACCACCAGAGGCTTTTAGGCACAGGGCCTGTATTTAGCAATTAAAAAAAAAAAAGTTGATCTCCTTGTTTATACGGCTTGTCTTTCTGCAACCCACGTTTGCAGGGTCTGATCTAAGATTTAAACTTCCCATCAGTTGCTGTTGAAATATATGCCTTTCAGAACTGGTATATTTTCCTCCTTTCTTATCATTTGACTGTAGCCCATCCAGTTTTCTGTTTCTATGGCTCATTCCCAGTGCTGGCAGGTATAAGAGACTCTGTGTGCTAAGTGGAATAGGCAGTTGAGACATCAGGGTACCCAAGTCCCCTCTGTCTTTAGTTTTCTCATAGTCATTGCCCTCATCACCCCCTCCTCAATACTTCTCTTTTCCTCACCTCCAGGAGAGATTATCTTATTTTTCATTGTGGAAGGGGCTGAAAAGTCTAGCACGTGCTCTTCTCTTTCGTGAAGACATGAGGCGTGCTTCACAGGCACCAGAATCCACTGGCTGGACCCTCTCAGGGAATCTGAGTTCTGGTTTGCTTTGAGGAACTTGCTTTTCCTGATACAAACTGGCAGGAACAACCAGTCAGACCTGGGACATCTCACTCTGCCTTCATTTCATGAAGCCTAGAAGTCCTCGTAATCAAATGTGTTCTCTTGAGATTAAACCAACTTTCATTATAAAGTCATGCTCCAGCCTTAGAAAGTCCCCAGTGATCGTACATTCAAACAGATTAGGAAAGTCACCAAACCCACACAGCGTTGAGAGTTCTCGAAGTGCCAGAAACCTCCTGCATTTTCTGTGAAATGAGGTGAAGAGGTTCCAAGCCCCAGTGCCAGACCAGATCGGCTCATTTTCATACTCGGCCATTTTCACGTAGTTACTGGGAGAAGCCATCACTTGGGTTTTCCCGCTGGCGGCCAGCCCTGCCCATCCCTGCCCTCACCACAGATTGCCTCCGTGAACTCAGCCGGGAAAATACACTGGCCCCACTCCATTTCTGGCTTTACTTCTTTTTTGTTTTGTTTTGTTTTGTTAAAGGGAAGTCAAATAAATGTAACCTGAGGTTTCTCTGGGGATGTTTCATTTCTCGTTGTTGTCAAGCACAGAATGTGCCAGTAACAACATGGGAAGGACACCAGGGTTACGATAGATGAATGATGCCTTCTTCTTGGCCTAATGGAGAGGGAAAATGATGGTGTTCTGGAGGCATCTAAGACCTCTAGCCTTCACTTCTAGACCAGAAGGAGAAATCCCCAGCTATGTATCCCAAGAATTCCTGTTTTGTTATGGGTACGATACCATGTTCCTGGTTGTCCCTACCACAGCTATCTTGGAGATGCCTGCAAAAAGGGAGTCTCCAGTGTCTGGCCCCAATAACATCTAAGGCATCAGCTTCTGTAGTGTCGATTTGGGAGGGTTCTCTTCATTCTGGCATTAGAGCATTTCTAAAAAGCATTATAACTTGAGTCCTGAAATTGGAAAGGTTTCAGATGACAAAGCCACCAAGATCAAGGCTGTGAGTGAAAAGGGCTCTGTATCTTATGGAGGAAAGTCTTTTAGTATCTTGTTTGCTTTAGTTTTTGCTTTAGGTCAGCCTGTCTTCAATTTAGAGTGTAGAACTTGAATATTTACTTCTGAAACCCACCAGGAAATATTTTCAACAGTAGAATATGTTAGAACATTTTCGGATCAATTTCCTTTATTTCTTACCCCAAAGTGTGTGCACAAAACACACACATGTGCACACATGCACATCAAAACAGTATTAGTTCATTCAACATACACCTCTATACCATTTCCTCAGTGCCAGTCACTCCTTTAAGCTCTTACACATACAGACTCATTTAATCATCCCAATAATTCTGCGGGGTACGTACTATTATTAGCCTATTTTACAGATGAGGAAACTGAGGCTCAGCGAGTTTAAGTAACTTGCCCACTGTTATACATCCAGTAAAGGGGGGAGCCCAGATTTGAGTCTGGGTGGTCTAACTCCAGAATCTGTGTTTTTCAGCACTATATTTTGCTGCCTCCTTGGAATTATAATGGTCACTTCTGCTTTTCCATTTTATGTCTTCTATTATTGCTTATGACAAAAGCCTCACCCTAATGTGTGTGCAGGAGACACTGGCTACAGTGCACTGTCTGACTCAAGTGCTCGGAGGCTGTAATGCATCCTGCCTCCCTTGCTGTCTTTGTGCATGTCTGCTCCCCGTAAAGCTGGGCCTCCTCTCACGCAGGGGAGTGTAGGGGAAAACATGCCTTGCCTATTGCTCTACACCTTACGATCAGTCACAACTTAAGAGTCATCAGGATACACTTTACCAGTAAGAAAGATCCTGTGTTGAAGGTCCATGCCAGGGTCAACCCAGGGTCCATCATCCACCTCCCATTCTCCTTCCTGCCCTATCGGTTGTTCCTGGGGGACTGATTATCTCACCTTACCCTCAGCTAGCAGACGAGGGGGTTACTGAGTTTTTCACCCCTCATTTAGGTCAAATCACCCAGTCATAGATTTTCATAGTTGCAATGCCATGTTTACCTGACTTTGGCTGAAATCTGTCCATGAAGGTAGGATCATTGCCTGCATCGCCTGTTTTGTGTTCTTTTCTTTTTCAAATTCATATTCATTCTCTCTCTCTTTCTCAATACAATGTCCCCTGCACCCAGCATGGTATTTGGCACCTAGTAAGTATGCATAAAAGAGGATTTGAATACACATATAGATTTAAAAAACTAATTTGATTATTTAGCATACACAGAATTCACAAACCCTGCCCTTATAGAGGTTATAGTCTAGTAAGGGACACAGATGGGTAATTAAAAATCAAAACAGAGTGCGATAAATGTTTTGATAGTGAAGTACACATATACACACAAATGCCTACCCCACTTATACCAACAAACTTGATGTAACTATGTATATATTACTCCAAACATTTATCACTAGGGATTGGAGAAACCCTTGGCTAGGAATGGTGAATATAAACATTTCTCCTCTAATCTGACCAAATTTACTTTTTTAATTGCCTTGTTCTGAGTTATCCTTTGATCCTCTGCTTGGTAATGCGTCTCATCCACTGGGACAGGAACATTCTGATATCAGATTTCATAGTCACACTGCAGAGCGTCCTCAGTTCTCTGTGTCTGAAATGGCCCACATTCCAGAATTAGGAGGGCGAAGTGTTTTTCTGCCTGTAGTGATTCGTATTCCTATTTACTGCTACAGAGACCTGCGCTAATGATGGACTCCAAGGAAGCTCATTCTCCTCTGACCCCCTAGCAACATGTGCAGCTGGAATAGCCTCAGGAATAGCCTCTCCTCTTCTGTGTCCGTAGTTCCAACAGTTGGGGTGGTGTTTGGTGCTCAGCCCTAGATTTTATGTGGGCAGAACATCAAAGTCTTCCCTTCTTACGCGTGAAGATCAGTGTGGTATAGATTGCTTTTGGGCCATGATAAATAATGTCATCCTTGCCTGCAGGACTCTGTGGTTTGCCATTAACAAATTCTTTCCCATTTTTGTAAGTGATCATTTTAACACGCCATAGGTGCTCCATATTTAGCTTCCTTCTGGTTCTTGTATACCTTAGTTTTCTGGGTCGTTGCTTGATTCTTCATACTCCTTCACTCCACTTCCTCCATCTCTTAATTTAGAGACTGTCCCTACAGTTTAGATGTCTCCATTTGCTACAATTTATTGATGTTCGGTTTTAACCCAGGCTGATCCTTTGGTTTACAATAGCAAGTATGTACTGGACTTAATTGATTTGAACTGAATTGCATTTAACCAAAATGACTAACATACATTTCACATGTAAATGCATGAGAAAAGTAGTCTGGACACACTAGAAGCTCTGGCATAGCGGGGTGGGGGGGCATGGGCAAGATATGTAACCCTAACAATATCTGTACCCCCATAATATGAAGTAATAAAAAAAAGACAAAAAAAAAAAAAGAAAAAGAAAAGCAGTCTGAAAGGGAAAGAGCTTTCCCCACACCAGTGAGCATGTGTCCATGCCGTTGCTCCCAAAACCAATTATGTGTGTTAATAGACATGTGTGTGTGCTGTGCAGGTATGGTATGCATGTCTAGGTTGTGTGTCCAAGTCATGCTGCTGTTATTTACCTGTCTTGCATCTGTTTCCTTATTCTTCCTTCTTTGACATCCTACTTACTTTTCTTCATGGCAGCCATGTATCCAATACCAGGCAATGGGTCATGGATGGTCCAACCTAGTGGCTCTCACCCAGGGGCAATTTCATCTCCTAAGAAATATACGGCAATGACTGAGGACATTTTTGGTTGTCACAACTGGAAGAGGGAGGTGCTATGCACATAGCATAGTAGGTAGAATCCAGGAATGTTCCTAAATACCCAGCAATTCACAGGCCAGCTCTCTACAACAAAGAATTATCCAACCCAAAATTACAATGATGCTGAGGTTGAGAAACCCAGGTCCAAGACTATCATAGCAATTCTTTTCACCCTTTTGCTCTTCCTTTCCAGCTAGGGGTGGACATATGACCCAGTTTGGGCCAACAGGACTTAAACTGAAGTCATTCATTGATAGATCAGGTAAGGTGTTTGCTTTTCTGCTATAAGATGACAAGCATCACTGAAAGCATCATTTCCATTTCTGTCTGAACTTGAACCCAGACATAATGGTTGAAACATCAGCAGCCTCTTGCAACTGTGTGGAAAAGGTCAAGAGAATCAGAACAGTATCAGTCTTCCCATGTGGGCGCCATTACATCAAACCAGTAACAAGTTACCTCAATTGCTGTTGCATGCTGTCGAAAATTTCCATAGAGTTGGAATCTTACCTATTGAATAGCTGTAAATTAGGTTTTCCGTTATCACCTCTCAGTATGTTTCTAAATAACACAGAATATGAGCATGTGTGTGTTTGGGGTGAGGATATAACACGCTCCTTCCTAATGCTGTCAGCCCTCCCAGTCCACTTACACTGGGTAGGGGAGTGCAGAAGAATCAAGAATTCTCCCTCTTCTGCGATAGAAGCAAAGCGCAGGGCATAGCATTCCAATCCCAGAAAAAAGCTCATAAGAGTGTGTGATGGAGTCAGGAACTGACGAAAGGGTCTGCATTCGGGAATCTCGAAGGCATGATGGCTGCCTTTGGGACGGCCCAATGCATTTGCTACACAGCTACTGGGAACGTCACGTAGGGGAAGATGACAGCCCAGTGGGTGCAGGAGGACCAAGGATTCACCCTGAGCTGACTCAGGGTCAGGAGCAACCAGGATTTGAGTTCAGGAGCTTCACTTCAAGAGGTCTGGGAAGCAGGAGTTAGCAGGAGTTAGAAACCTCATCCGATTGGGACCAGAACTCTGAGCCTCAGTGTGCAGTTCCCGTGGAGTTTTCCAATGCCCACTATGGCAGCTTAGAACTCTGCTTGTTTCATATGTGTGTGTTAGGGGGAAGATCCAGAGATGCTCCTAGCCTCGAGAAAAGTTTGATATTACAACACTCTGGGAGCTCTTTAATAAGCAAAAATAACTCTATGCTGTTAACGTCCTCATTGCCGGGGTGTGTGGAAGGGCCGGGGTGGAGCTGGCTGAACTAACTCAGCAGGAAATTATTTTATGAAAGTACAAACTCCTACTGCGATTGCTTGTATTTCAGAATTAATTCAAACAGCTGCAGAAACATCATCCATGGGTGTGAATCCAAATGATACAATTTGCCATCCTTTCTCTTGAGGAAGATGCTGGCTTCTCCCAAGGGCTCTTTAGAATTAGATTTCTTGAACTACCACGAAAAGTTGATGCCTTGGCCTCAATCATTTTTGTGTGCAGCAAACACATTATTCCCATAGCAGTGGTTTTCTCTGTCAGGTGACCCACCGTGTAGGACGAGAGTGTTCCGAAGTCTGGGGGTGGCTGTGCATCCCAGATGCAGAACAGAGAGAGGTTGGAGTGGGCGGAACTTGTTTATTTCCTGCAGGGCTCTGCTCTGGATCCTCACCAGCTGTGCGTTTGGAATGCCTGCTAGAATGCCACTGCAGCTGTGGGTGGATGAAGCAGAGAGTGTGCCCAACACCACACCTTGCCATCTCAGGGCTCTGGAAAAAGGCCAGGACAAGAGCAATGTGGAATCATCCCTGAAGGAAACCACCTGCTATAATTTGGAGTAAATGAAGCTTCAAAGAATGGGCAGGGCTGGTGTTATTTCAGGGAAGAAGAAGTAATTATAAAGTAATTACAATCACTTTTAGTAGATGCAACAGGTATTAAGCACCTACTATGGGGTAGTCATTGTGCAAAGTGCTTTGTATGCATTTGCTCGCAGAATTCTAACAACACCACATGATCTGTATAACAACAAAACTGCCACACAGAGATAGGAGGTGACTTGTCCAATTTGAGTTGGTAAGGTTTGATCTCAGGGACTCTGGCTCCTGAAACTGCATTCTGAAAAACTCTGACAACCTGGTCACCTGCTCAGCCTGACTTTGGCTTTAGAGAAATTCTAATTTTAAAGTTGCCAGTGTACACCCGTAATTCATGTTAGATGTAGAGGACCTTTTGTCAGCTGAATTGCTGAGAGAGGGCAATTTAAAAATAGTGTCTGCTTTGATTTTTAAGTTATAACTAAACATCCAGATTATTATCTTTGTACGGGGCAGAGGAAAAGAGACCATAGTAAGATCTGGAGGCCTAGGAAAGGCAGCCTGGCATTTGAAAACAAGATGACACTGATGTTTCTGCTATTCTTTCATGCCAAGTCTAATGACAGCATTGGGCTGGCAGGACAGAGGTAATGATATAAAAGCCGATATGGCCTTTTCTTAAAGTAAGAGATACTTTGGCCTGGGCAGGCCGAAAAAGAAGGTGAGCCTCTACCTCACAAGGGGAAAAGAAAAACAGATGCTCCAGTTACCACGTAAGAGAAATTGGATCCTGTACAGATCTGGGATAGCCATGAGACTTATAAAGTATGTAACACCTCCCTATCTGTTCCTCCCTACCAATTTTTCCAATTTCCCTACTCACCCTGCAGACCTTCCTGCTGCTCCCTTTCCTATTAACCTAAACAACACACATCAGATAAAGACAGGCATGGCATCGGTGGGGCTGTCTGTAGCACATTTCAATGCAATGCGGGGTCGGGGAGGGCTTCTATGGATAAGGTTGGTTGGGTTTTCTGTCTGTTAGAAAATAATGGCTGCTCCCACGCTTCCGTGAAAGGTGCCATTCATTCGTGACTCCACCTGTCGATCCATCCACCCACCCACCCATCCATCCATCCATCCATCCATCCATCCATCCATCTATCCATCTCCCAACAAGTGTTCATTAAACATTTACTGTGCATTAGTGGAGAGACAGTTTAAGGTGGAGTTCCTGCTCTCTCAGACAATATTATCCAGGAGACGAGACAGAATTATTATCAATTATACAATGAATGATATAAATATCCCACAGGGAGGAGTGCTGTACAGAGAAGGTAAGCAGGGTGGTGTGAGAGAGTGAGAGGTCAGACTGTGTTCTCAGGAAAGGCCTTTTAGAGAAGTGGATATGACAGTGAAGATCTGTTCATGAGAAGGAGCCAGTGATGTGAAGAGCAAGTGAAGAAACTTTCTCTTTGCTGGGATTTCAAAACCTAACCAGGGCATCTGGCTATTGCTCTAAGCCTGATTGGAAACCATTGGATTTAAGCCTGAGAGTGGTATGATCTGTAATGACTCAGAAAGGCCACTGTGTCTGACGTGTGGATGCAGGATTACATAAGACTCAGGAGCCCGAGTGGGCAGTAACAGGGCTATTGCTGCAGCCAGAGAGAGGCGGGACAGCTTGGCAGAGGTCTGCAGAATGTAGAGATATGCAGAAATGGGTGAAGGATGGAGGCAGAAGACAAAACACGGGGTGTGTGGGGGGAGTGTTTTAGGTATGCAGTGGTGGAAACCATGAGCTCTCCTTCACCCTTTCATTCTTTCCACACAAAACACTGAGCATTTACTCTGCCAGGCACGTGGAGTGCCAATGTCAGTGAGTTAAAATCCCTGACCTCAAGGAACCCAAAGTCCTAGTGGGGAAAACTGAGATACAAACAAATAATTAAAATACATTTTAATAAATGCTGTAATCAAAGGGTATACATGGGAGCCAGGAGAGCCCAAAGGAAAGCCTGATTAACTCTGTTTCAAAATTAAATAATGTCAGTCTTTTGACAGACATTATTTTTATTGAATTCTATCCATTGGTCTACTGGGTTGGATTAATATAACAACAGCTCAATAAGAGTTATGTCAGTCAAATGTTTGGGTTCATGTTCTGGACGTAAATTATTTGATAACTCAGGACTTTCACTTTTATATTCTTTACTTCCTTAAAATGGTTTAAGTCATTGCCACCACCAACTCTGAATCCAGGAGTAGGCTGTGATAGTCCTGCCTGGCCCCACCATCTCAGTGGCCTCTGGGGCAAAGCAGGAAGTGTGTGGGAGCCAGCTGGGGTCAGGAGATGCTGGTTCTTGATGGACCACTGGTAATGAGAAAGAGATTGCGCTATTTCTGGGAAGAAATGTCTGCTTTCTTCCCATAATATTTTATTAAAGTATATTATTACACCGAGACAAAATCATTTTGATATGTAGTTCTATGATTTTTAGATGATATGGAAACATTTTGCCACTACCGAAATCAAGATATGGAACATTAACTTCAATCCCCCCAAAATCTGTCCCTACCTCCCACTCCTGAAAGTCTCTGATCTCTTTTCTGTTCCTATGTTTTTGCCTTTTCCAGAATGTTATCTATATAGAATCACAAAGTATCAAACTGTTTGAATGTACTTCTTCACTCGACAACATGCATTTGAGATTCATCTAGTTGTTATAATATATCTATTAGTAGCCAGTTTATTGTGCTGCTCAATAGTATACATAATATGGATGTACCACAGTTTGTTTTTCAATTCTGCAGTTTAATGACATTTGGGTTGCTTTTGGTTTTTGATGACTATGAATGAAGCCGTTGTAACATTCACAGAGTTTGTTTTGTTTATTTGTTTGTTTTTTTTTTTTTTGATAAGTGTAAGTTTTCATTTCTCTTGGGCAAATACGTAAGAGAAAAATTTATGGGTCACATGATAAGTCTACATTTAACTTCGTAAGAAACTGTCAGACTGTTTTCCAAAATGGCTGTATTATTTTACATTTCTGCTAGCAATTCACTAGTTTCCAGTTGCTCTGCAAAATTGTCAGCACTAGATAGTGTCAGAATGTTTTCATTTTAGCTATTTAGCTATTTTATTCAGTATTTAATTGTGGGTTTACACATATAATTATTCATAATAGTCTCTGATGGTCTTTTGTATTTCTGTGATATCAATCATATGTCTCCTTTTTCATTGCTTCATAGATTGTGAAGTTTATCATCTTTTTATGTGTCTATGGTTTTTGTCATTTTACTGGTTTAATATATCTTTACTTTTTGATTTGCAAGAGTGCTTCATATTGTCTAGATACTAAAGATTTGTTGGTTATTTGATTGGCAAGCTTATTGTTCAGTCTATGGCTTGCCATTAATTTATTGCTTTAATACTTTAATTAATT